CACTGAAATGAGCGGGCCTTGGAAGCGAATGGCGGCGGAGCACCCGCTCATGGCACGTGTCTCGCGCGCTTCCACAACAAATGGTTGGCGGTACTTGTAAAAAAACGCTTTTATCAAGGGGCTTTAGGTTTGACCAGAGGCGAATTGGCGACTCCCTCGCCGGGGGGGGGGGGGGGGGGGGGGGGGGGGGGGGCAGACGTGGGGGGTGATGTTTTTAGTAGTTTCTTTGCCCGATCCCCCATAGGTCATCGTGGTGATATCCCACACTGCCTGGTGATAGTCACGAAATTGGAGAGGGGAAGCAAATTGGCGGAGAGAGAAAATCATACTTCTGGTTTTTTATTCCAGGTGGCGCAAGGGGCCGCCCGTTATAACAGGTACAGCCGTTAGAATCTATCCATCCGTCCGAGCGTGTTGTTTTCTAGCCAATCTATCGCGCGTCTAAGTGTCACCACTTATTTGGACAAAGGTGGATTGAAAATAATGTGGAAAACCCGAGACTGTGGTAAAAGCAAGGAAACGGACGACGTCTTCACATTGAAACGAGGCAAGATGTCCGATGAGACTTTTGAGAGCCAGATCTGGTTCAAGGTCGCAAAAGCATGAGTGGCGGCCAACAATGAACACTTCCAAAACACTTTCGTTTTGTGTCTTACCTTACGAGAGAAGGTTGAAGGTAACGCTGCGAAAGTAACGTACCACTTTTTGCAGTAAAAGTCTCTTACTCATATGGAAGTGTAATTGTAACTGTGATCAGTTACAATTTAGCATGGGTAAATGTAAATGTAATTCCTTTCTTTTTATAGTAACGTGTACAAGTCTCATGAGAAGGAGTGTCACGGTTAGCTAGTAGGTGAACTCAATCTGGGGCGGGCGCTTGACATGCCCAGTGGCGAATGCTCGGGACTGACCACATACTAGATCGATCCCACGCAAAAACATTAATTCAGTCAAATATCAACTGCCTCGCAACGAAAGATTCCTCGGTTAAAGAAACAAGAAATAGTGAGATAGAGTTTATGAATTGTAGACACTGGCGCACTTTGCAGCTTTATGCACACACTGAACTGGTTGCATAGCAGAAATTTTGTCAAAACTTCGGTAGATCAATAGAAACAACGATTGTAGTAATGATGTTACAGCAACTAGGCTGCTAATTACACTAATGATATTACCATAATTACGATGCAACTTCAGCAATTAGTACTCCAATGAATTACGTTTAAAAGGTCCATCCCTAGTCCAGCAGTGTGACACAGCAAATGAGTAACACAGAAACATGAGTTGAAAAAAAAAAAAAAAACACCTTAGAAAATGGCCAGAAGTAGCAACTGAACATTAGTGAAAGCTCCCATTACCTTGACAATCGCAATCGCCCCTAAAATTTATGAAAACGCTGCACACGAGCCAACAGTTAGAAAGGCACAAGTAACTGGATATCTGTGCATATCAGTGCCAACATACTATCAAGTTCGGTCTTAGTTGGACCAGGTTTGCAACAACAAAGAAGGAGCGGAGCCGTGAACGTCCGTAACAGTAGAAAAATAGAAGCACATTTATTAGTGCACAACATTCTGCACCTACAAGACAACAGACATTTTCAGTTAAGATGCCGCTGGTGTCCGGATTTGCAGACAGAACAAAAGAAAAAAAAAATCATTCATACGTCTGTGTATTTTAGCGTGCCGCACGCTGCACAGGCTTGTCTCGATATGACGCTGCATCTTTTTACATTGTTTGATAGGAGAGACCCCTGAAGAAGCGGGAACAGTTCGAAGCACAAATACTGTCGCCACCGCAAACTAGCAGTTGATGAGACAAGATGACAGACAATGTGAGGTCATTACCAACTTTGCAATAAAAACAGATGCGCCTTGCTCAACACATGTTCTCACTATGAGTGCAAGCGGCAAGTCCTACGTTACAAGGTTAGCTCAATCACTGATAACGAAATCCCCAGTCTGCGTAACACGTATCGTCAACAGTGACAAAGTCAAAGTATTGACCATGAGCGGTCATCACTGGCACGGCAGAAGGCACATGACACGAGTTCAGCTAAAAAAAAAAAAATTGGCACCGATCTCGCAGGAAAAAAAAACTATTAAGAACGAAGAAAATGGTGTCTATGTATAAAGTCACAAAACTAATACCCAACGCTGTGCAGCACGAACTTCAGTGGAGGGAGCCCTGAACATTTTTACAAAATCCATGTTTTACACGGTATGGTAGAAATCAAAATCTCGAGCTGCAACACTGCAGCTTTAAGCAATAATAATACCAATGTCTGATCTGTAAGGTTTTAATATAAATTTTCATTTGCCGAGGCTGCTTAACACCAAACTGGAACTCTCGAGCTTAGCAGACATCGGCCTCAGCAATGAAAGCTCCAAAATATTTCCAGGGGCACTTATTTGGAGTTTTGTAACGTCCTTTCCCCCAAAATAAAACAAATGATATTCCAAGATCTACCCATAACACAGTCATCACATGACTCCAATACCTGCGACTATGCAGCAGATGCCCTGCCTCAAGCTTCCTGCTTTTGATAATGTCGCACATGCAGCCAAGGCACGGCAGTGGAAGTCAGCGAACACATTCTGGAGTTGAGGCTTCTATCGAATCCTTAGCTCACCACCGACTACAGTCTGCCTTAGCACGCCCTGTACCTTTTAAAATTATTCAAAAACAAATTAGTTGGTTGACTGAGCCCAACTAAACTGGGGGCTGGCAATGATCCTTCCTTGACAAAACCATTTAATTGAGCAGAAATATGGTTTCCCATGCAGTTCCCATGAGAAAAATGCAGCAGCTCTCACGAGAGAGGAAAACTGAGAAAGCCCTAGAAGAGGGGGCCAATGTTTGCCAAGACTTGTGCTAAGGGAAATGAGATCTCTCAGCAAAACAATGGCTACCCTATCGGTCTTACTGTTTGCTCAGAGGCACACCTATGTAGTCTAAGATTTCTCCTGCTTTAAGTAGAGACACAAATAATGTCTTTCTGCCAGGTGTTGCAAAGTAGAGTAGAATGAAAATCTTAAAAGGAATAATCTCTGTAACAAAGTATGGTGACATCAGAACAATCATTCAACAATGTGCGCCACACATATTACATACAGTAAACATACAAAGGAAGTTGTTAAGGAGGAACGAGGAATACTATTTGCTCAAGTACACTGAGCAACACTGCAAGCGCAAAACAGAAATTCAACACTCTCTCACATTTTACTTTGAAAGAAGACTGGGGGGGATCAAAATTTACGAATTAGGTTACCACTCCAACTGAGCATTTTCTGCCACTATAATTTTTTATGACAATCCTACAATACTGAAAGAAAAACAGAAAACTGTTGGTGGCTTGCTTTTGCTAACAGTGTTGCAGAGTACACATACAGGCAGACATGACTGCTATGCATGCAACCAAGGAGATTTATTTCCAAGGGACCCGGATAACCCTGGGGAGGGGGGGGGGGGGGGGGCGCAAATGTACTAAATGGGGAATATGTAAATAGGAAAAAAAAAAATTCTCCTAGCCCATACTGAGTGAAGTATTCATGTTCAGAGTTTGAAGCATTTCATCCGCCTCACAAAAGCAAGTCAGTATGACTTCACCACCTAATCAGTGCTTAGTGAGCACCACTGAGATATGTGACCTGAACTTTGTCCCCCTCCTTCAATTCCCCGAAAATCCTGTATCCATAAAAACACCCAAGAACAGGGCTTGCAGAGAAAAAGAGCTTTTTGTGTTCCCATCAAGCTATTCATATGATGAAAAACCCACAGAGTATTGAATGCGCGACGCTAGTATATCACACAGGGTGTGCATTGCTAACTAAAACAAATTTTTTTTAAAAATGAAGCAGGTGATTGCTACATGGATACCATCCTTCTGTATGTGTATGGGCTCAGCAGACATTAGGTCTGGTGATAATTACCACAATAAGTAGGCAAGTAACAAAAATTGGGCAACTGATTAACAGACTGATAGGTCATATTTTAACCGCAATACCGAGAATTACTATTACAGGCTAAACCAATTTATAGATTTTGCGAAAAGGCAACAGGCATCGTGATAACCTTTGATCAGCATTCACAGTTTTGTCGCTCGCTTCTGAAACTCAACAGAAAAAGCGCCAACCCTCGTCATCACTATATCAAAAGTGTGCCATCCACGCCTTCACCAAGGATGAGCCACCAGGATAGTGACGTGCCAATGTTGCAAAGACGACCACTTCACTCTTCAAAGTGTGCTTGTGGGTAGTGCTTCCGGTACCCTTTCAGCGCCCAATTTCAAAATCGGGCGAAGGAAATAAAACTTGTAGGAGCACATTACGAAACCTGTTGCCATTTTGCAAATTTATCTAGGCCCCGATAATGACTACCTTAGAAACTACACCTCCTGCATGACCCATCTAACTATTAATAAAAACTAATTAAAGGGTAACTGCAAACAAAAGAAAGTGTATTTTTAAACAGCCTAATTGGGACAAACATGTCAAAAAAATCTTTCTGTGCAAAACATTTTTTACAGCAATATTTCTAGCGCGAGACAGATTTTCGTTTGCAGCTATCTCGTCTGTTTTAAATCACGCGCCACAAAGCTGGTATTATACGTAATGGAGTGACGTATAACAGCTATTCTGCGCTAGTCGAAAGAGTGGGAGTTTCATATGGGGAGAGGTTGTGACTCCAACTAAATTACGTACTGTGGCTTAAATATTGCAAAAAAATTTGTTTTTTTTTCAGATTTGTTTTGTTTCATGCTTGTCCCAATTAGGCTGTTTAAAAAAACTTTTTTTTCTTTGCCATTACCCTTTAAGAGGCCTTAGAGAGTTATCCAACTTACTGCTATGATTATCGCTCCATCTAATGTCCGCTGAGACCCAAAACAGAGTGAAGATGGCATGTGCATACCCCCCCCCCCCCCCCCCCCCCATCACAAGAAAAAGACGAAGACATTGTTGAATCACAAATACATTGTATAAAAACAGAGGGTCAATGGACTTAAGGAAAAACGTTTATCTAGAATGATGTTTAGAGTGGGGATAAATAAATGACAGTTGCCTGCCATTTCTTACGCCTGCCCGGCCTGTCGCAATCCCCAATTTCTATAGAAAAAAGCAATGACAAGATGACGTACATGGAAACCTGCAGCAGGGCAAGCATTGCACACTGAGCACAGCAGCAGAAAACAAAACTCTAACAGCTTGTAAAAAAAGAAAAACATGAAACTGAGCTCTTTCTTATAAGTGAGTCAAAGGAAAATTTCCCAGCTTTTACAGGACGGTGGCACAAACACTTTTTAGGTCCCCCCTCCTCCCAACTCTTTTACGGGCAAGTCACCTCACTTCCTCTCGGCACAGGTCCAACATCATCAGTGTTCTCGGAGCTCTACAGGAGTGTTAAAACTGTCCGTACATCAGAGCAGCTTCCCCGTAAGGATCTCGTAAGCCATGCGGTAACGCAGCCGCTGTATGTCCCTCGCCGAGAAGTCGAAAGGTGCGTTGCGCACCAATCGTTCCGCATAGAGGCAGACAAACACGCCACAGTCGTGCGTGTTGCTCTGCATGGGAATGTTCTTGGCAAACTGGCACGCCCAGCCTCCGTCGGGCTCCACCAGGGGCCGCCGCTTCTTGTCCCGGTGCTCATTCCGCAGGTACTCCATGAGCGTCCGGTAGCACGGCTTGTTTTCGCGCCCCATCGAGTCGTAGAGCGAGAACGTCCGCTCCTGCATCCACAGGGCCACCAGGGACCAGTGGTCCTGGTCGTGCACAGGCACCAGCATTAGGTCTACGTCGAACAAATCCACACCTTCAGTCCAGCGGCGCACCGCGTCGTAGCCCCGGCTACGTAGCACGTTGAAGAAGTGCGTGGTCACGGCGTGCACCCTCATGCCCCCCTGCTCCAGGCTCGCACGCTCCACAATCAGCCCCATGTAGAAGTCTATCACCACGTCGTTCAGCCAGTTGGTGCCCAACAGCGTGCGCAAGTCGCTGACAGTGACGCTGTAGCCAAGCTTGCGCGTAAGGACCCGCTGTGGGTCGTGACGGCTGCGCCGGATCGTGCTGCGAACCCTGTCTCGGAGGGAGTCCTCGTCTGTCCCTCCGACGACTTGCACGTCGTCACCGTTAAGCTGCGCGCCATGTTCGGGGCGGTGGAGGCCCCGAGAGGACGTGGAACTGTTTGCGTCACTTTTTGTTTCGGGGGGCACGTGGCTCTGAAAGCGAAACCCTGGCAAGTCCTCCAGTCGCCGGAGCGCCACAAAACACTCGCGCGTCAGCCTGCGCATGTCGTCCACGCTTTTGCCCGTGCTGGGACCGGGCATGATGTCCTGCAGTCTGCGGAGGTTCCGCTGCAAGAGGGGGCAGCACTCAAAGTCCCAGTTGACCTCGCGGCACGTGCAAGAGGAGTCCGATTGCCTGACCAGCTCCCAAGCTGGCACCATCTCCCATGGGGCAACGGCACGCAGGGAGAGAGGGGTGCCCGGGGAAGGGGATTCCTACCGGAAGTGCCGCTCCTGCAATGAGGGGGAGGGGCGGGGTCAAAGCTCCGGATGGCTCCTTCTTGGTTCAACCGGACACTGATTGCAATTTTTCCCCTCGTGACGTTTGCTAGAGAGGCTCGGAGGCACTTTCAACATGTCCGGTGGCACGGCTTTGTGCATTTCACTGGGTAGGGCTTGGGTGATGCTCTGCTGAAAGCGGTTGCGATTATACCCGTCCAGATGTTACGCGCAACGAGGAAATGCGGGAAAATGGGGACCCATGCAGAGAGACACACTTCAAGTCTGAATAAGCCTAAAACTGCTGCTGCGCTCAAGTGATGCACTCGAAAGTCAATGCAATAAACTCATAATACAGCGATGAGAACATTATACTGTCATTGCATACTAGCATGAACCCGTGCATGTGCAAGTACCTACCCATCACCCTCCCCATGCCTTTTTTTTTTTTAAATATAAATTTCAAGTTGATTTTTGTCAAGGAAGATGAATACCCCTACCCTTTGTTTAAAAAGGTCAGCCTGGCCACCTTGTTCCTGACTAATGGTGGCATAAGATGGTTAAGATATGCTCTTACTCTCCAAATCTGCCATACTTTTCTCACGAAAACACATCATCGGCCTGAAAGCATTTGTTGCCATTGTGGTGCCTTATGTGCTATGCACTCCGTTAACTTTCCACACTGGCTTTCCTTTAATTACCCCTAAGATTGCCATAATGTCACTACCATACGCGTGGCCAACAAGATACACCCACCGCACTCTTGCCGAGCACAGGTGCTGGCAGTAATGTGAAGCAGAGTGGATGTGTTTCATTTGCATGAAAGAATGCTTTTGCGTAGGTAATAAAACAAAACAAATTTGTCGTGCTCTTCCCTTATGATAAAGGTTGTAAATCGAGAACAGATCAAAAAGCCACCTTGCAAGAAACATTATCATTGTATAATGTCTTACAATGACCTAAAGGGGTACTGAATTGAAATTCTTGTGCCTATTTTATAGTCTTGTTGTTCTATTGTATATAAAACAACTTTGGATTCTGTTGGATTCAACAGAATCCAAAGTTCTCTCGCTTTTTGGGCGGCACAAAGCATGGAAATTCCGACGTGTAGGAAGGACTTCAGGAACACCTGAAAGTACCTCTTTTAAGGTTTGGAGTTCGCCATTGCGCCGCGAAGCCACAGCAACCAGGAGAATGCTACGGTTAGACGTGCAACGAACACAGACGCCCCACTTCTCGCCTTGAAACTGGCCGAAACAACGAGGCCCAACAACGTCTGAACACGCCGAACACACGAACAAAGGCTTTGAGCTTTGGATTGATTTTCGATCCGTGGCGACTGGATAGTAAAAACCACGACGCTGCCGTGGACAGTACCTATTGCGCTCTTGTGGCGGTGCAAGATACCGCCAATAGATTTACAAAAAAAAATAAAAAATAAAAAAAAAATTTTTTTTTAACATTTGAAGCAAGATTTGTAAAATCGTAAAACGAGTCCATATTCATACTGTTTACGAAAAGTTTGGAAGAGTTGGCAGGTATGCTATATGCTATCTATTGTCTCTAAATTCAAGATAGCTATTGAGAACACCGTAAATGAAGATGATGCCGACACCACTTTCAAATTCCCGGACGCTCTCCAGTGCTGTGACGGCACAAATGGTACAAACTTTCAGGACGTGCAGGTAGCCTTAAACAAAGTATGTCGAGCGTTTTATTTTTTTTTTTTTTTTTTTTCACGCTTCTCAATGAATTAGCTTCGAAGCATTTTCTTCCCACCATCAGTCGTCTCATAATCAGTTAGGGATGTGGTTTAATGCCCACTATGTACCATTTCTGTCATCACACTTCGAAGTGGGGGCTCCAAGTTTTAGAAACATGATGGAAACAAAATTCTAAAATTTACTAACTTTGCAACAGAAATTATTTTATAACAATACTTCGGGAACTGGTACAGCCATGTCTACACTGTGTTGAGCCGATTTCGAGGCAAATCAGCGACCATTAATAAGAAATCTCTAAAGAACCATTTTAAAAAGGCCTCAAAAGTTTATTTAAATCGAACAGACTGGATAACCAGGTTACACGCGGTGAATGTTCCCAAAGCTAATTTGAATGTCCCCTTTCCCATAAAAGCAGCGTTGCTCTGTGGAGGTCCGGCAACAAGCTGCGTGCGCACGTTCCTTGCCGAACTTGGCCGAACCAGATTTCCCCTTCTCTACCAAGCCTATTCAACTCCTGCGGGGAGAGGGTATGAGACTGAAGGGTCAGCAAAGAAGTTTGAAGCGTGGGCGAGGCACTCCTTTGGTTCTGCTGGCATTTCCTAACCAGACCACGGTCATCTCAAACGGCTATGTTGTAACCCCCTGATGCCATCAAGTGGCAAAGCTCATATCGACACCAGCTTCGCCTAGCCCATCCTGGGAAACGTGACGTCACAGTCTTCCGTGACGCATTGCACTCTCCGATGGCCGCTCCTTGAGCACTCGCGAGAATCAGCCGTCTGGATTAAAGAATATGGCCACCCGTTGAAGATACAGACGTGAGATTGTCATTAGCAGATATGGTAGATTATGTTCAACTTATTTCCAACGTTGGAAAAATATTTAAACCTTCCTTTCAGTATACATTTCAGTTCCTGCTAATTAGGGTTGGAGATGCCAGAACAGAATGACCCCAGTTTCTGCTATTACTACATAATTGATGAAGTCTCAACAGGCTGCCACTGGATGGCACCTAAATGTGCAAAGTGTCTTTTATAATTTCACTTTGGGTGGGAACTTTATAGATTATGGAATTTTATGCTACGTTACACGTATGAATACATAAAACCACCTTTTCTATTGTCTGAAACGTAAATTGCAAAAAAAAAAAAAAAAAATTACTAAAAGAAGTTTTTTTGCAATCAAGTGCATTGCTCAAGTATCTCTGCCATCATTTACGAATGCTGTCGATCAAATGTGGTGATGTGCGCAGCATGAAGATATCCAAATAGTTAAGTTTCAAAAGTTTTTCTGTATCAGTAACATCTTTACACACTCTTTTTACCTTATGTCCTCTAGCTTTTCAGTTAACCACGGACATTTTCAGGGGTACAGAAACAAAATTTAAGGTTTATTTTATTGCTTAGGAATATACCACGTCGCATCAGCACTTGACAAACATCAGTCTTTTGTTAGTAAATGCAAGAAAAGTATTTTTAAAACTAAAAAAACAATTTCCCACTTGTACCTGGTAATTGGGGGGTCGAAGCTTTGTTGGCGGATTGTGATGTGTTGCTCCTACCGCCAGTGGCGCCACCCTACACCAAACTCGTATATATACCCTAGCCGTGAGCGCAATGATGGAATCGCACTGCTTTGCGTGGCGCACAATGCGTGAAGGATGCCGCGCTATTGCGTGGCAGAGGGCTGCGGCAACAGCATGCTGAACTGCGAGATGCCGGCCCACGGGTTTCCGATTGATGAGAAATTCCGAAGGGTGCGGATCCGTCTCGCGCGTCCATCGTCTCTCGGGCGCCAATGAAATCCGATCACCTGTGCAGTCACCACTTTCGTGACGAGGACTATGAAAGGTGACCCACTGCCCTCAGGAGTCTGGGTATTTTCACCAAGAATATTCGGTTGCTGCCAGGGGTTCTGCCGATTATTTTTTTTCCAAGAGAAGGAGAGCAGAGGAGCTCAGTGAACCACATGAGAAGCGAAACAAACCGGTAAGTTAGTAGAGCCCTGCGCGAACAAGTTTGATTATCCACATCCAAACTGCATCCGCGAACTTTTTACATTATTGTCTCCGTATCCGATCCGCATACTTTGTATCCGTATCAGAACCGCATCCGCAAAATCTGGAACCACATCCAACTCAGAATCCAGACATTCATTGTATGTCATAACATCAAGAATGAAAAAAAAAAAATACAAGAAAAAATACAAAAAGCTTTTTTTAAGTTGTTTGATTATCTTTGTACAAAGAAATCTTTGGGTCACCATTCAAAGGGGATGTCATTTTATCATTATCAGTTTCATCGTATTTATATTAAAAGCGATCAGCCTTCCTGAGAAACTGCACGTTGAAAGAAAAATTATCTCAGTTATGTGATCGTCCTAGAAGTCCTCGACACTTTGTCCAGAAGAAGTGCACATGAAGGATGTCGAGGCACTTCTTTTGTTTTTGGAATTATGACCACACTACTCTTTGCGGAGAGGGGGACGTTTCTTCTACTTTCTTGCGACTTGTAGTTTTGAGGTTTTCTTTGCCCGGAGAAAGTTTCCACTCTTTCCCTGCCAATGTACTAGCTTTCTCGGGACGATTGATGCCCTGCAATCTTTACTTTTTCTATAGATAGCATTTTTGACGAGAGGCAATGCACTAACTGAAGCAATCTTCAGTAAGAACCAGATCTTTCTTAGGATTTATAATGTTCCTTCGAAACGCGTTTTGTGGAAATATGTTTCGTGGATAACTTTTCATGGACATACATTTCATGGACATACATTTCATGGACACACGGTTCGTCGACACTGTACGTTTTGTGGGTGCATGCCCCTGCGACGTTTTGTTGACAACACATTTCTTCACCAAGCCGCTAAAAGCTAGCGAACTAATCATTAAGGCGAGCTTTACCAAACCATACCCCCTCCCCCCTGTAATCCAGGTGAGACGCAAAAAGTTTGTTACGAAAATAGCAGGGTTGTGTGCAAAGAAATGCCTCAGGTTTTTCGATAAGACAAACAAGAGAAGCCTTTCGATCAAACGTTGCATGTCGACGAAACAATTGGTAGATGAAACGTCAGTCGATGAACTGAATGCCACCGGGCAAACATTTAGATCCGGATCCACGGATATCCGCATCCGCAGCCCCTGACATCCGCATCCGATCCGCAATCCGCCAAGATCTGTAATTTTTATCCGCATCCGCCCGTTTACTGCAGATATCCGCTGTTAATAAAACACTGTTAATAAAACACCTAACAGTGCATACCTCGAAGTTGGCCAATCATTATTAAATGT